ATATATAACAACAAATCAAGCTCCTCAAATCTTTATACACAGCTACTTTTAGCTAAAACACACTTTGCGGCATCATTGCTGAAAACGTTTCCTGACAGCCTGAAATGCGCTCTTTGTGGACTGTTTACTGTATTTCTCTCTAATTAGTGGACTTGAGATGAAAGAAAGTTGAAATCTGTTGCCATAAACGCTACTTTAATTTGGTGTTCAGAACTGAAATGTATTTTTATGAGTCTCACAGACAGAAAGTCCACTTTAAAAAAGATACAAAACTTTTCCAGGCAACATTTGTTTCTGTCTGAGACACATACATACAGAGGAGACATCATTAAAGTTAGTGATGCTTGTTTTTTTTGTTTTTTTTTTTAATCACCAGCAATGTTAAATTTTGTAGTGGCATCAAACAAATACTAGAAGTGTATTTATCTTAACATGTTGTAACAGTAACTCGTCAGTATTAAAACTTAAATATTAGACTATGGAGATGTGTGCGCAGGACTAACCTGTTTTCAATGTGTAAGTGCATCGCATGAAATAAATTACAATCAAAAAAGATTTTAAATATTGAATTACTTGTTCTCTTAAGATTCTGTGTTTCCTGTTTGATAGATGACGTTCTCTCAAATGGGTTGCAGTTTCCGTCTTTTGGCTGCTCCCTTCTTCAGCGGTCGCCACAGTGAACTAACTCGCACGAAGACTTGGCAATTACCTTGACGCCAGATGCCCTTCCTGATGCAACCACAGACCACTGAGCTACCACAGCCCTCTGTGTGGAGCAGAGAGCTGCCATTTAGGGTGCCCGGGGGAGCAGATGGTGGGGGTTAAGGGCCTTGCTTCAAGGGCCCAGAGTGGGGTCAAGTGGAGGCAAGTGTGGGTGTTTCATCTTTCCCACCCACATTTTGACATTGTCTGTCTGAGGAGTTGAACCGACAACCTTCCAATAACAGGACTTTAACCTTGGCACCATCATTTGTTACGATGAGAAAACTTGAACCCTAATATTTTCAAATTACTACAATCGACCTGGCACAATGCTGTTTTAACCAAAGGCAACATCTATTCATTGTAAATAAAATCACTAAAGTCCAAGTGTTCTCCACTCCGACCTTTTCCCTCTTCAAAGTCTTTCTACAGCTGATGTTTGGGTTTAAGTGAACTTATGGTTATTCACAGGACCGAAGTCAAAATAATTTATGATGAGCCTGCACGGTGGAGATGTGATAATTACACATTTGCTCAAATGAAAGTAAATGGAAGACGAAAATTCAGGTTTAAATGGGGGTTTAACCAAAATGAGCAACATGATATCTATTTTCTTTGTTTGTTTTAGATATTCCTCTGTTGTGAATGTATGTAAATATTAAGGGAATATAATTTATACTTAGAGTTCGTTAATAATTCCGGCCCTCTGTAAGCTCAATTAAACGTATTTGATCAAACAAAAAAACAATTTCATTTGTCTTTAAGGAACTTGCCTGCAAGTCTATACTCAGGGATAAGTTTACCCTGACAATTCTTTTCATTCTGCCATTTCATTGGTGGATTCCTTGAAAAGGCGGGGCCAAAATAAAAACAAGGAAGTGAAAACGCTTCTATCGGATTTTCGTAAATGTTTCCTTACCCTCCCTCACATAAGTAGCGATGGAAAATGTACGGAAACGTAAAGGTGAAGTTTTCCACAGGTTTGTACTGCTACAATCAGTAAAATATAACAATTGCTTTCCTACTTTGTTTTAATACATTTAGTTTCGTCTAACAAACAGAATTACAAGAGAGACCCGATTTTGACAAATAAAACTTTACAAGAGAAGGATTTGTGTGTTGTCAGTTTCATTGTTGGAACATTTATTCACAGATGCACAGTTCAGAGTTAACATATTTAGAGTTAGTAGACCTGATGTTTTCTCATCTTTCCTGGCTGTGTTTACCATATAAAACACTTTTTTTTTATCAATAAGTTGCAAGTCTATTTGTGATTATGTGTATCTTCTTAAAAAGAGCATTTAACAGCAATACTAAACTGTAATTATCTTTCTCCATCCCCATAAATATTGGCGTCCATCAGGGGTGTGTCCTGAGCCCCTTGTTGTGCACATTAATCAAGAGCTCAGCCAAACTCCTGAGCAATATTTTGAAGTTTATAGATTACACAGCAGTGATGAGACTGATTTCCCACTAGGATGAGACTTTGCACCAGCACGAGATAGAAGACCTGGTGGTCTGGTGTGATTAATAAATTAAGTTAATTATTATTTTTCACAATGTCCACAGACATGGTCCTTAATCACCTCCAACATGATTAAAAAGACCCACTAATTTTATATCCCCTCAGGAGATGGATTCATTGGCAGCTTTTTACAGATGTGTTGTGGATAGCACCCTCACTTTCTCCAACACCACCTGGTCCAGAAACTATTCAGCTGATGACAGGAAGGTGCTGCAGAGGGTTATGAACACTGCTCAAGGGATCCCTTCCATGCAGCCTTGAGAACATTTATATCAGCATCTGCAGGTGTAGTGCAGTCTGCATTAAGGAGGATCATACTCACCTGTCCCGTAGACTGTTTGACAGTCTTGCCAAAGATGATGCGGAGCATCAAGACCAGAACAAGACTCAAACACAGCTTCATCCCCAGATGCAGTCAGACTAGTTAACTCCATTCCTCACTGAACTCCTCTAATCCTCTTCTGCCTCATGTTCTGTTTTGTTTTCTTTACTATATTTCTTGTTTACTTACTGTGTTTTCTATATCTGTCTATATTTATTCGTTTGGTTTGTTGTTGCTGCTGGTTTTGAGGACTAACTAACAACCTGTTAGCCTTTTTGAGCACGGTGAAAATGATCCAATAAACTGAAACTCTTGTCAACAAGCATTAAAGTAAAAAAATAGTTTGGCCAAACTTCGCAAGATGAAAAGCTAAACATAAAAACAGTTCAATAAGTTATTGAATTTAAGTTTTACTGTATGGCTTTACATATGTATTCTTTTAAGTTAGCAATATTATTGTTTAAGATACTTTTTGAAATGTGAATATCTTAATAACAGCAATATTTCAGGCTAACCTGAAGACCAGACAACAACTTTATCAGTAATCCATATCAGTTACGCTTGTGTTGATAAGCTGGCAGGGATAAAGGGCCCATAGAGCATTCAATGGCACTCTTGTAAATACACACTTCTGTCTCTGCTGAGCCACAGGGAATTCGCTCAGCGTTCTACAGGAAACTGCACAGCTGTTCACAATACACAGCAAGTCAAATGGGTCAGCAAATCTTCAGCTGGTGCATCATTGTCCTGCTGAGATTGGGTTTGGATAGAAGAAAGAAAAAAGTGCTCATGTAAATCAGACACATGGAGTCTTTATGATGCTGCTGTACAAAATTATATCTATGTATTATAATACACTGACTTCCTGCCACCCCTTTGACTTGCTAATACTATACTTGAATGACTTATTATCATTACACATGTATATTCACAGCCCAGCTGGTGTTTTGAAGGAAAATGTACCACAGAGGAGAGGGCAACACTTCCACTTTGACCTATGGCTCTGTCTGACAGTGCAGAACTGGATACTTGACTTTGGAAGACCTATTGCTATGGTAAGAAGGCAAAAAGCAACTAATATGTAATGTGACTGAACAGTTAATGGGGATCAATACATATCAAATGCTTTCTTGTATTTTATATGTTAGATCATCTTTCCTCTGGAGTGGTTTCCCCTGAACAAGCCCAGTGCTGGAGATTATTTCCACATGGCGTACAATGTTCTCGCACCTTTCCTAATGCTCAAGGTAAATCTGTACAAACACTGTTCTACTGATGATGCATCAACTTATTTTGTCTAAAAGCATTTTCACACCTTTCTGTGGTGCCTCGATAGACCAAACCTTGTAGAACATTCACCACCCACAGCCATGTATATTTTTTACTGTCTCTCTGGGCGTGTGTTCAAGTTTTTGTGTGTTACCAAGTTATCTCATGAACCAATGGTACAGATTTTATTAAAACTTACAGAAAGTAATCAGAGACTGTACTTATAACTTATTAATTTTTGGAGTCAAGCCAATTCAGGGTGACTATTATGGCACCAAAAACACACAAAAAATATCTATAACTCGGTCAGTTTTACTGATTTTGTGCAAAAATTTGGTGTAAGAGTAGCAGACAGTCATTCACAACACATACTCCAAACCCTAACAGATCACATGAGATCACACAAGGTATTGTAATATTGCATGAAATTGCACATAATGTTATTTTCAAATTTGGACCCAATGGTTATGACTCTGTCATTTTGCAGTACAAGATAATCCTAATCTCAAACACTGTCATGAAAGATGGAGACTGACATGCATAACTTCAAAGGAATGCTAAGCCCTCAGTTCTTTGTTTCAGCTCTATCTGCAGTTACTTCAGTCAGGCTAATCCAGTGCTTCTCAATTATTTTCGGTTACCCCCCCCCCCCAGGAAGAAGTAAACATTTCGCGCCCCCCACAACTCTCCGCGGCGACTGTAAATAGTATAATTTGTCTATAAAATTGTTATAAGTACACCTCTACATAACATTGTATCCTTATTAACATTAAATTAAAAATATAGAAATATAGATCAACGTACAACAAAGATTACTAACATTGTTTTATAGTCTGTAACAGAAAAGACTTAAAGTACATCAATTTGCCTGAAATTTAAAAAATATATATCCTTATTTAAACTGTAAACATTCTTGACCATTTGATACTGAACAATAAAATTAAATACAATCAATAAACAATAATACATTCAAATTGATCAGCAACATTTTAAGTCAGGAGTGTTATATAAAACACTTTGACCTACAAAACAAAAATGAATAAAACAATTTGTGCTGTTTTTTTTTTTTTTTTGTTAGTTTTTAAAAAAAATCAAAATGAGGAAGTCAGGGTTAATGGCTACAACGAGCACGTTTTGCAGTGCACGGCTTTTTGAAGCACAGTTTGAAACATGATCCTGCAGCTCTCAGCTCCTGCTCAAAGTTTAGCTGGACCTGGACCTGGACCTGGACCTGGATCTGGACCTGGACCTAGTCTCAGTGCAGCAGAGAAGTCGCAAAGAGCGCAAGAGCGTGCACGCGTGTGTGTGTGTGTCCAGGGGAATGCGCTCACAAGAGAAGAACCTGACAAGTTGTTTAATGACATAAAATATATTTTGTTAGCAAAGAATAGAGTCCTAACATTTATTAAATATTACTTCTGTATTTAAAAAAAAACATCGAAATTGTGCTTTCTCAAACTAAAACACAAACAAAAAAAAAATTAAAGAGGAAGAGGGGGCAGAGCGTCACCAGCTGCTCAGCAACAGAGAGAAGCGACACAGTTCAAGCATGGCTCCCCAAACGACAAGACAAACATATTTGTTCATAACTTTATTATTATTAAGACTGAGAGTTGCTGGATTTTAGCAAACAGTTGCCGAATGCATCCTGACACAATGAGAATGGTGCAAAAGAAGAAAAAAAAATCTACTCCCTGCGGCAAAATGTTCCTCGGGGTCACATGCGCCCCCCCCGGCATTGCTCCGGTCCTTCCCAGGGGGGCACGCCCCACTATTTGAGAAGGACTGGGCTAATCTGAGGCGCCACGTGGCTAATTAAAAAAAATAAAAATCTACACCTAATTGTGGATGGTTTCATTTTATTTTCTGTGTTTATAAGGATCAGCAGCATTCAGGATCAGCAGCATTCATAAAAGCACAAAGCAACTTCATTATTTATCTTCTTCACATATTGTCTCTTTTGCTATTTAGACTTTTAGGACGCAGGATCTGCTCATTGTTTTGTCCTTTTCTGTTTTGGTTATTCATAGTTCAGTATTTCTGTCAGAGCAACAAATAATGAAAGAAACAAATATCACATTCAGCAGGTTTTTTGAAAGCAGTTGTTACAAGTAGTTGGAACAAAAATGGGTGTTTTCAGGCAAACAACTGATGCAAGAAAGCCGGAACTGCCAACAATTTAATTCAAGGAAAACATACACCTGTGTCTAGAGAAAATTATGAAGCAGTGTACATTAAAATGTTTCACTAGTTTTAGTGTCTGTCAGTTGGTGACAATGTATGTGAAGATTAAAATTCACAATACAAATGCTAAATAAAATTATTTAGTGCATTGCCAAACATCTTTGGTAATGTGTCTCTCTTGTTGTCCCTCAAGTCTTTAACCTAATGCAAGACAACAAATGTGAGCTGAAAACTGCATTGACAGGTTTTTAGAAGCAGTTCCAGCCCTATGCAAAATATTTCTAATATTTATTTTAATTCAACCACAGAGGGAAATACTTTGTTTTTCATCTGAAACAGTTAAATCTTGTCCTCTGGACATTCAAAAAACAAAACAAACAACAAAAACAATGTAGAAACGTTTCGTCTTTCATCCGAAAGTCTTCCTCAGTGTGAGGTGCTGTATTCAGCTCAGACTTTGTTTTTCATTTTATTAAGATATTATCCAAAAATGCCATCTCACTTATTATAGTTTATACTTTTAGCAAGGCAAGGGCTCAATAGCGATGTTAAACCATGTGTTCGAAGAAACTTTCAGAGGTTGAAAACTAGACATTTTAGAAAGTAAAACTCAGGACAGTCAGGCTTGATCTGTTCACATGTTGGAGGTGTGTTGAAATTTAAGATAAAAACAAAAATGAGCAAAACATCAACTTAAAGCTAAAATGACAACAGTCTTCCTAAATCTAGAATGAGCACAAGAAAATGGAAATAAAGTATGTTGAATTAGAACAACAAAAAAGGTTGAATCATGTCATCTGGGCTTCGTTTTTTGTTAAAAAGAAACGTTTTGCCCCTCATCCAAGAGGCTTCGTCGGTCTGTGTTTTTGAAACCATTAGTGAAAAGGCCAGACTTCAGGGGTATCTGAGGCAGGCTTGGAACACAAGAGTCAGGGTGGCTTCTGGGTAATACCAGATGGCTAGGCCTCAGACCGACGAAGCCTCTTGGATGAGGGGCGAAACGTTTCTTTTTAACAAAAAACGAAGTCCAGATGACATGATTCAACCTTTTTTGTTGTTATATACCTGGATGACTGAGAAAACAAACTTTGTGTATGTTGAATTAGATTTCAGTTTTGATTAAATTGAAGAAATCTATGGAAAATAATTGTGAATAACATAAAAACAAATCCAAAGTGTAATGGTGCAAATGCTGCAAGTCACAGCACACCATTTTTGATCTATCGGAATGTTTTTAATATATGAATTGTTAAAATGTCACTAAGATTGTGAATGTAGTTTGCAAAAAACATGCAGAGAAATAACTTTTAGCAGGAAATTGTGTGAATTCTGATGCAACATTCACATAATTAGTGTTAAATCAACGTTTTCATAATTATTCCAAACAATAATCCACCGTTTGTGAAGCTGCAATTTTTTTCTAGTGCTGCATTACTGACCAATAATAAACTATAACATTGTAAACAGTAGTATGATAAACGTGGAAACCCTTATTTATACAGGTTAGTCTTATTGAGCCTCGAGAACTCATTTACAAGAGAGACCTGTTTAAACAAAGAACACAAGATGTACAGACAACAATAAACAGTCATAAAAAGTCTGTTTTTGTCTTGAACTTTTTTGGATTCATAAAAAGCTTATAAAATGAAAAGTAAATAAAACTAGTGTTATAAAACAAAATAAAAACAAGCTACGTTATGAAACGAGTTAAAACACTAAAAACAGGAACGTTTGCAATTGATTTTTGCATTGACCTTATTAATTGTTTAAAATCCCTTAGAGAGGTCAAGCACGACAGCTTCAGATCTTTTTGTAAGGTGTTCCAGGAAACAGGAACAGAGTAGAAGGCCCTTTTGCCAAATTCAGTCCGCACTGCAGGTAATGATGTCTTGAGAGCGCACGCTGTAGCTGCACTCACGTAGTGACATCTAGGAGGACATGTAAGAAGGCAGTAGACCAAGAAGTGATTTAAAGATGAAAATATACCAGTGAGCGAGTCTGCATGAAGTTAATGATGAACAATTGACCTGTGAATACAGGGTGCAGTGGTGGGTCCGGTAGTTACAGCCAGTTATGAATTTTAGTGCACCATGATAGGCAGCATCCAACATCTGCAGGGTTCTTGTAGGAGCATTCATGGAGAGAAGGAAAGTAGAAGTTACAAGGCATTTTCTAGCATTCCGAGTTAAACGAGATCTATTTCTGAAAAAGAAACCCAATTTTTTTTTTCAATTTCTTTATCAAATTTTCAACATGAGACTTAAAAGAAAAATTTACATTGACCAAGATTCACAAGTATTTATAAGGATTGACAAACTCAATAGGGACACCATTTTTAGATAAGATAGATGGAATTCTGGTACCAACTTCTTGTTTGAAAACAACATCCCTTTGGTTTTATCAGCATTTAGGACAAGTTTGAGACGGAACAAATCTGACTGGATGATGTCAAATGCAGACTGTAGGAGCTGGAAAACCATGGCAACTGTTTTAGCTCGACAATAAACAACTGTGCCATCGGCATAGAAATGTAAGGATGCATCAAGAATGATCTGACCTACATTACTTATGTAGATTGTGAAGAGAGTGGATTCTAAGACTGAGCTTTGTGGTACACCATTGTTGACCGTACTGATAATGTGATCTGAGAAACCAATGTCTGAGAGCTTATGGCACAAATATCACTTTTATTAGTTGAGTTTTTTAATTTTATTTTTACAAACGTTAGCTCCACTCTGTGCACTGCAGGGATAAACAAACAGTCTTGTAAGCACGTAAAGGAGTACGAGTGATTCATGAACTACAATCAAGGCAAAAACTGTTGTAAGTTTCCAATGATTGAAGCCACTAGCTTGACGCCCTGAAGTGTCTCCTCATCTCAAACACCATGCATAAAATATTCCACGGAGTCCTTAGTGAAGCTGAACACTTTAGTTCTGTTTCAAAAAATCAAAACTTGTACAAAATTAAGGAAAAGTAACTACAGCGACATAGAGGGAGAGGTAAAAAAACTGTGTGGCACTACTTTTCTCCACCTGACTGCTGACAGCCTGACTAATTGCCTGCCAATAAACCACACCCACCACAATACAGGTAATCATCCAAACACCAAATTTTACACTGCTACTGGGAACATCCATCCATCCATCCATCCATTATCTTTACCCGCTTATTCCATTTTGGGTCATGGGGGTCGCTGGTGCCCATGTCCAGCAATCACTGTACGAGGGGCGGGGTACACCCTGGACAGGTCGCAAGTCCATCACAGGGACACATAGAGACAAACGAGACAAACAACCATTCACTCTCTCACTCACACCTAGGGACAATTTAGAGTTACCAATCAGCCTAACATGCATGTTTTTGGTCTGTGGGAGGAAACCGGAGTACCCGGAGAAAACCCACGCGTGCACGGAGAGAACATGCAAACTCCACCCAGAAAGGCCCCTGGACCGGGGTTTGAACCAGGGACCTGCTCGCTGAGAGGCAGCAGCTCTACCAGTTGCGCCACCGTGCTGCCCACTGGGAACATTATAACTCAAAATCTAATAAATCTTACATTTTAATCACTTTGGTATTACAAAAATAAACTATATATCACACCTATACTTTTATCATTTTAAATTAAATTCAGTGAATCACCTATGAACTCAAAACTATAGTTACATTTGTTAACCATTATAAACTGCATTTAGGCTCCAACAACTGTTTTTCTGAAGGCAGAATTATTCATTCATTCATTCATTCAACCTTTATTTATACAGGTAAATCCCATTGAGCCTCAAGGACTCATTTACAATAGAGACCTGATTTCAACAAAGAATGATGACAACAGTGGACAACAGCAACAACAATAGACAGCCACAAAAAAGGCATACAGATTTTTTTTATTTATTTATTTTTTATACAAATAAGATGGCAAAAAAAAAAAAGTAACAGAAACCAGCTAGATTCTAAGGCGAATGTAGAAAACTAAAAACAGGAACATGTCAGCATTGGTCCCTGCCAGGAGTCCAACAGATTCTTAAAGCCACTTAGTTAGTTAGAACCACAGAGCCAAGGGTACTGAAAATAGTAACAGGTGCTAAGTACCGGTACAAATGGAAAAGCCTCAGAACCGGGCCAAGTAGGGTCCAGTCGGCCCGTACCGGTACTAATGGAAAAGGGGCTTTTGAGAGGTCAAGGTCGAGAGCTTCAGATCTTTTTGTAAGATATTCCAGGAAACAGGAGCAGAGTAGGAGAAGGACCTTTTGCCTAGTTCAGTCCACACTAAGGGAACACTGCAGGTAATAATGTCCTGATAGCGCACGCTGTAGCTGGACTGCAGCTTCAATTATCTCATATGATCATGAGTTTGAAGCCAGAGACTGGAAAAAAAAAAAAAAAAAAAAAAGATTCTTTAAATTTCTTTGAAGATTTCTTCAGGACCACCAACACTTTGAACAGGAGTAAATTTTGTTTATGACATCAAATTTACTTTTGCGAAAAATGTCTACTTTGTAATTACTGCGGGAAAGAAAGATGTTTTGGAGCCTCGCTCTGTGGCTTTCAGAGGAGATGCACGTTAATGCACTCTCTCGTTGACTTGTCAGACTGCGAATCACTTCCCTTGCATTTTTTAGACTGTTTGTTCACAGACGGCAGAGGTCAAAGGTTTAATATAAAGATTTGTGTTGTTTTCTAAAGGGGGGAAAAAGCTGCACTCAGTGCATATTTTAAGTAACATGTCATGCATTCAAAATATGATTTTATACTAGGGGAAGGACATGATTGGATCCAGTTTTGTTTTTATTTTAGCTGATGAATGCCACGATTTGTAGATTAAATTAACAAACCAACTATTCAGCCATCTTCCAGATGGTCAGCAGTTGTTTCATGTTCGTTAGACCTGTGCATGTAAATATCTCAAAATTAAACATCTTGTTTTATCTTTTCATGATTTTGTCATCGCAACAACACAAGACAGAGGGGATTCAAGTTTGTTGTAAAAGATTGATAAATGACTTTTAAAGAGATAAACATTAGATGTTTTTAAATTTATTTCTCTTTTTGGATTCAAATTCCACTGTAAAAGGCTGTTCTGAGTTTGTACACACTTAATGTCAGCACGGACAAAAAGCTGAAGAACAAAGAGGAACTGATGGAAAAGAATGCAAAATTCAAAACATGACATTGCTTTTCCTTTGGGGATAGAGGTTCCTGTTGAGGTAGAGCCCATTTGCAGTGTATAATTGTTTACATTTAATAACAGCTGGTTGTTTGGAATGAAGGAAGAAGCAGCTGGCAGGAAGGACAGAAACTACTGGAGCTCAGCAGACAAGAAGAAGAATGTTGCCTCCAGACACTTCAGCAGAAAACTCAAGGAAAATCACATCAATATCATAACGGCTGTCTGACTCGACGTCTAAATTAACTCACAGATGCACTGCTGTTGTTGACCCAGATTCCTAGAGATGGAACCAAAGTAAATATTTGGGATGCAGCTATAATTAAATAAAGAATGCATTTGTTGCTGTTTGATTCCAGCTGATCGAGCGCAGTCCACGGGCTGTGTCTCGCACAGCTGTTTACCTCTGCATCATCACGTTCGTCATGGGGGCCAGCATCCACCTGGTGGGGGACTCCGTCAACCACCGGCTCATCCTGAGTGGCTACCAGCTGCACCTGTCAGTCAGAGAAAACCCCATCATCAAAGATCTGAAACCAGCCTCACTGGTAAGACTCCTGCTTCATGACTGGGATTCTGGGAAAACATTAAAGCTACTCGTTGCATAGACGTGTAGCCCTGTTAAGAAAAATAATCAGGAAGTAAGAAATAAAATTGATATTAAATGTGTCCTTGAGTTAAAAATGTGCACACAGCTACCCCCTTAATTTAATTTAATTTAATGAACTTAATTTAATTTAATTACCTATTAAAAAAGCAGAAGTGGTTCAAAATAGGTCACCAGTGACTACTTCCATGGAAGAACCATTTAGGATGGAGAAGTCCAAAAATATTCATGTAATGTTTCCACAGCTGGGACATGTTTAAAAAACAACAACAAACTAATCATGTTAATGAGAGGCCTGTAATTAAATCTTCTCGATTAATCACATGTTTATCAAATAACAATATTCGACATAATCATACATGAACCTAAACAACAAAAACATAATTTTTTTTTATTTTATATATTCTTTTTTTTGTACATTCTCATATTAGTGCAACCCCAAGGTGTAAATAAAAATGTATTCATGATAATGATGATAACAATTGTGATAATAATAATGATAAATAAGTTAAAAATAAAATGTTATTATAAAGATACAGTTCACTGCAATCCATTTCCCCAAAGAGTTTATTTTAGTCAGATGTAGACTTTCCTTTTTTTGTCTACTTGTAGACAGCTGTAGCTTCAGCTTCGGTTCAGGAGCTAGCGAATGTCGATGTGCTGCGCTGATGAATTCCTTTAGACACAATTACACTAAGTTCTTCTCCGTGTCGTTACCATCAGGGTCATTTATTTTAAATGTCCCACTCAAAACACAGAGTCAGAGCGTTCCTCTTATTCCCCACTGTAAGAAACTGAGCACGGTGCAGCTGGCGAGCTAACTTTAGGTGCATTTCCTCCGTCACCTGTGCCTCAGCTTGGTTACCGCTGTCCCAGGAAGTGGGAACGGAGAAGGTGCAATTTATTGGGTTAATTTTGTAAAGCGTTATTTTTTTTCCGTCATTAAATAATTGTAATTAACACCTTAAAGTCTTGCCCCTAATTAATACACATTTAAACTCAGATTTGTTGCATAAAGTACAGATAAAAGGGCTTTGTTTACATTGACTGCAGACCTGCACTTCAGAAATGTATATCTGGAAATGTACTGAAGTAAACTTGATCAAACTTCACGATTTGTTTTACTTCAGAGTAACCTTTTTAATGTTTGATTTGATACTTTGCATTGAGTCTGTCTAAGATGTTGGATTTGTGATGCATTGAAGAAAATATAAAATTATTATATTTTTAAATTACCGGTAGTGTTATTTATCTTGGTGTGAATGTGGATAATATTAGTTTAATGTGTTTGTGTGTCTGTGACCAAAATATCTCATGAACCAACAAACAAATTTTAAACAAACTTACGAAAAGTAATCTTTGGCTTTACCTCTACAACTAAATTCAGTTATAATGTGGAGTCAGCACCATTCCAAGTGGCTGCCTCATCGAATTGACTTAAAACACAAAAACGACCTGAATCCATAGGCGTCACAACAATTACATGTGAGGGGGACGTGTCCCCCACACATAAAAAAAACCCCTCTTTTGTTTGGACCCCCCCCCCACACACACACACACATCATGAAATATTCGTTCACCCACCGCTGTTTCCATTTCTTTCTGAATAATTCCATTCCACTCAATTAATAGAATATTCAAACCACTAAAACTCCACTCCAGGTTTTCCTGGTTACCCACAACATCAACTCACCACATGCAGCTTTCCCCAAGGTCATTTGATGGGATGAGGGGAGGAGGGGGAGACACCCATGTGTTGTGCGCTAGCTTAGCGTAGGGCTGGGTGATATGGACCAAATTAATATCTCAATATTTTAAATATAAATCGCGATATACGATATATATCTCAATTTTTGTTCTTTCCATAAAGTAATAACAAAAATATATTTCTGAGTCAAAGCTTTGTCCCAGTTGTCTCAAAGGCACATTTATTAACAACCAGCTGCAACTGTACAAAATAAATGTCTTAAAAAAAACTATTTATATATATATATATATTAATTAATAATCTAAAAAAGTTGAGTCTGGTCTTCTGGACATTCAAAAAACAAAACAAAACAAAACAAAAAAAATTGTAGAAAGGCTTCGTCTTTCATCCGAAAGACTTCTTCAGTCTTAATTAATAATCCTCTTCAGCTGCGCCGCCTTCGTGACGTTAGTAAGTGTGTGTGAAGCTCCGTGTGAGGGACTGTTTGCATTCAGTGAGGGAAGAGGAGGGGCCGCGTGAAGTTGACAGAGCAGACGGGCAGTAAAAGAATAATTACGGTACTGTTCACGGATTTCAAGTCTTACAGTGAGAGGTAGCGTGACATTAATAAAGCAATGGTTTATCATATCGCTAAAGATACGATCCTTAGTGGCTAACAAGATGGCTAAAAAAAGTTCAAAAAAAGTTCCTCTGGACCAGATTGATAGAGTATAACAAAACAGCCATCAGTGTGCTAATGATCCATTGTTAGGCTGATGGTCCTTCTTGAGCATGTGATCAGCTGGTTTTGGTTGTCAGCAGCAAAACTGGTTGATCCACTCTGAGCAGGTGCTATTTATAAGACTGAGCTGAATACAGCACCTCAGACTGAGGAAGTCTTTCGGATGAAAGACGAAACGTTTTACAAATTTTTTCTTTTTTTTGAATGTCCAGAGGACCAGATTGAACTTTTTTTAGATGCTTCATTCTCCATAGCACTGTTTTAAATGGTGAAAAAGATTTGTAGTGCCGACCTACTGTTGGGACTTGTTTTCAGCATTGTCTACAGAAATCATTTTTCTGCTGCTCATCTGACAATTTAAATCCAAAGTAACTCCAAATAACTGCCATTGTTTTTCTTTTTGCTCAGCAGCTAAGCTGCTCTTTGATATCCTCTCCTGCATTTACTTGTTGTCTAAACTCCCACCCACCTGGAGAAGCAGGAAGCGGGGGGAGCGTGCACAGGTGAGGGGCTGGGTTTGTGCTCAAAGAGGGAGAAGTAGTTGCAGCATGCAGTTGGCGACGCAGATGGGAGAAAAAGAATGACATGGATTTTCAAGTCTAATAATACTCGATGGTTGTGATAGAGCCATTTTAGCCATCGTAAATTGAAAAACTCGTGATACGTCAAGTATATTCTATACATCGTCCAGCCCTAGCTTAGCGCCACGTTAGTGCCGGCAGTTGTCGACTGGGGTGGGGACTAGAATGCACGAGAGAAGCGGAGCGTGCTTTTGGTCAGGCTACTTTTTGTTGTGCCGTGCATATTAAAATAGTTACTGATTCAAGTGTTTACTAATGTAGGTAAACATAGATATTTAACAACTTGTTAAAATACACCAAATAGCAGGAAATGACATCTACTTTATTCAAAATTTTCTGGTGAAGGACCCCCAGACCCCTCCATCAGTCCCCCCCCGCACATTGCAAATGCTTCTGACGCCAACGCTTGAATAAATTGAGCAAACATTTGAAGTGGTAGTAGCTGAGAGTCGATCACAACACTCTGAATGTGACATCTTGTGAGATTTTTCTCATTTTTATAGTTTGGCCAAAACGCCTGCAGACATTTCTCAACATAAGATGGTCTTAGTCCAGGTCGTCATTGAAAATGAGACTTTGTTTTTGACTGACTAACATAGTTAAATAAAGGTTAAAAAAACAACAGTTTAAAACTCTTGCATGAAATGTGTCTTTTTTTTCAAGTAGTGCTACGTCAACATTTCATATTTACTGTCCGACACCTCATGCTTTTAACACTGTTATCCTGATGACACTGATTTCATAAATGGAAGTGGTTTGGCTGATAAAATGCTCCCTTGTGAACTTTGTGAATTTGAGTGTAGAGGATTGTTTAGGATTTAAATCTTCTCACTGCCAGGCTCGGCCAGCAGCCAATCTTTTATTTTGTCTTGGCTCCTTCCCTCAAATCACCTGATGTTATTTTTGTTATTTCTAATCAAGCAGGGAATCTAAAAAAAGACTTGACAGCTTGAAGGGTTGATGAAATATTCACTGCTAAAACCCCTTGTTGCTGCTCTTTTATATTGAGGTGCTTTGTTTTCTTCATGAACTTACACAGCACTTATTGTCTGAGCACAAATAAATTTAACATGACAAAATGGCAAGAATTTAATGCATTAAACTTTTCATGTTTAAATTCTTTTATTTTCCTGAATAATGGCTGTTAGATTATTTGAGTAGGGAGCTCTGATAAATCAATGTAAGGTGAATAAAATCAAGAAAGCACAAGAATCAAGATCAAGAATCAAGAAAGCTCATCAGAGACTCTACTTCTTCAGACGGCTGAGACGAGCTGGACTGTGAAGCTCAGTCCTCACCTCCTTCTACAGGTGTGCAGTGGAGAGCATCCTGTGCTCCAGCATCAACGTGTGGCATGGAGGCTGCACAGAAGACTGTTGGAGTCAGTCTCCCCACCATCAAAGCCATCTACACCTCTAGATGCAGGAAGAGGGCCACCTGCATCATGAAGGACCCCACTCACCCAGCACACACACTTTTTGCCCCACCCCCCTCATCTGCTCACACAGACTCATGTTCGTGCTGCTGTTGTTCGACGTATTGTTTTTGTACTATTTGTGCTTTGCGTATTCTTACTGTTTTTCTTTACAATTTATACTTTTGTTGGATGTAACTGGGACCCTGTGTACACAGTTTCGTTCCACCACATGTACCACATATGATGAGAATGACAATAAAGAAACCTTAACTTTGACTTTGAAAATGTCTGTATAATTTGGTGTCATGTTAGCTTTAATGACTCTTCCTCACTCATACTTCCTTCATATTGTACAATAACACATTTGCATGTGGTTAAATTGAAACAAGAGTGGCATGTGAGAATTTATTTGTAAGGTTGTTTATTTGAACAAAAAACAGGAATTATTTTTAAAGATTGGCAACATTTTGCTCCTTGGCTATAAAAAAAATCAAACCTGTTTCTCTCACAGGCTTTCAACTTGTTGAAATGTGAAAACTCAGGTCCATGTCTTGTGATTCAGATGAATTCTGATTCATCTCTGGTGTTCTGTTAGAAAACGTACATCTGCAGTGTTTGTGCCCACATCTGGCAGTGTACCAGTAGGTGGCAGTGTTGCATAACACTCCAGGTAGACCGAAGCAACGTGTCAGCTAAACATTTTTGCTGAAGTGAGATTCTTTTCATTAATTCAGCCTTTTCTTTGCTTCTTCCTCCACAGATTGATTCCTTCGAGCTGCTGTATTATTATGATGAACACCTGGGACACTCACTGTGGTATGTGTTTGTAAAAAATGGCATGCATTGTGCATGCACAGTGCGACGACTCAAAGTTCTGTTTTTCTCTTCCTGCAAGAATTTAAGTGATATATGCATGCTGCTAAAGAACCGTAGGCTTTTGAAACACTTCAAATATGTGAGCAAGATACGATAACAAAGATTTTACTGTTAAGGACCAATACACCCCCTGTCTCCAAGCACCCTCACGTTATGACGCAAAGGTACAGAGCAGATGGTAACATGATCAGCTGGTAATATTTAAATATTAAATCATTTCTAAAGGACGCTGGGCTGAAATATGCATCAGTGCTCGCCTCTGTCTCGGCTCAGCAGAGAATAAAGGATGGATTTACCATTTGGGGCAATTTAGTGTCTGATCATGGCTGAGAAATTGCGTGTGTGGGGGTGTTCAGTGCTCTGGATGAGATTCTGAAATCTACAAGCTCCCACAACCAGCTCATTTCAATAATGACCATATCAGTCAGCCAGGAATAACACAAATTAGCATAAAGTCACAAACAAGAAACACACATCCTGTTAGCACAGACGAGATGACCTGTGTGGTCATTAAAGATGGGTTCCTTGGCTCAGGAAAATAAAGATATTATAAAAATGTACCCCTATATTCACATGGCAAGTTTTTAGTGTGGCTACATTTAAACATGTTTAGGATCAGAGGAGTCATAAAAGTCTCAAATAAAGCCAAAAAAACAAATATAATGTACATTTATCCAACTGTCTGCGATCTCCATAATCTGCAGGGATATCTGCAAACAGCTTTAACTCCTGTGCGGAAAAAGAAGGACAAAACAATGTGTTCCTGTCATTTGGTAACATTTTGTCTCTATATTATCAAATGTTGGTGAAAATGAGGACAACACATTCCAACAGGAGAAAAACAAACTATGGTTTCTGCATTTGAGCCAAACAAACAATAATGTGTATTTATAAAAATTTTAAAAGCTGCAGACTGATTTGGTTCAGCAGGAGCTGCACGCCTCCTGGCTGTCTTTGTTTTTCCCAGTCATGATTTAAACACGTTGGCAGTCATTTTGAAAACATATTCACGTGGTATTCTGAGCACATTTACACAAATGGAAGATCTTTTCTTCGTCTCCCTCTCACCTGCAAATAGAAAATAAATATAAAAAAAAACCTCTGAGAGAATGTGTATCATGTAAAGTGCACTCTTATTAGACAGTGACATGACAATGCTTTATCCTAGATTTAGTTTGTTTATTAAAACCCATTTTCTTGATATGTTTTTTTTTAATATAAAATATCATTTTCTTCTAATTAAGTTCACAGCTGTGCAGCTGCAAAGTGTTTCTTCTGCTCAGCAGCAGCTTCACACTCTGATAGTCATTTTGTTATTGGTTTCAAGCTTCATTTGCCATGATGATTATTGTATTACTTTAGTCTTTTAAACTTAAGCTTTGATAAAAAACACAGCTTTTATCAACTTTTGTAAATGATAACAAATCTCTAAAAGTCACCATTGTAGGTGTCATTTAACCTGCATGTTTTAAATGGGTTCAAATGTTGGTAATGGCAAGAACCATGGGCTTAATTTGAGCTGGATCCTGCTAGAACAGGATCCGGGAGCTCTCCAATTTTACAGGGTGCGTTCCAGTAACAGTTTGCTTGGATCCGGTAACGCTCAGGCTTACTAATAATAAAGATATGAACAAATTTGACTGCCTTGAATTAATAAAACCTATATTGGATATGTAAACTGAAAATAATTACATAAACACTAATTTTTAACATAACAGCCGCTTACAAGCTTCCTAATCTCACATAAGAGCTGCCCCTTCAAGTAAGCATTTCTGCCTATACCCTTGAAAAATCTCTGCCCATAGGGGGGCGGGGTTATGATGCTGAAGAGAAACAGAGTGTGCTCTATTCACACAAGGAGAGCTGTTGGTCAGGCTACTTCTTGTTGCTCTCTATTAAATCAAGTGTTTACTTATTTAGGGAAACAGAGATGTTTAACAACCCATTAAAATACAACAGAATTCAGGAAATGGCATCTACTTTATTCAAAATTTTCAGGGGGGGCCCCCCCACCCCAGCACACACACACACACACACACACACACAAACACACACACACACACACACACACACTCTATTTGCATTACCGCATCGTTTGGCTTACAAATTAAGCACTGCATGGACCACTATAATTACCTGGGCTTCAGGTGGTCTGTAGTTTGTATTTTCATTGTAAGGAGCTCATTGTTTGTATTAAAAGCAAAAAAATTCTTCTCAATTTTAGGATATAACTGTATTTTTCCATCCATCCATCCATCCATCCATCCATCCATCCATCCATCCATCCATCCATCCATCCATCCATCCATCCATCCATCCATCCATCCA